CACACACACACACACACACACACACACACACACACACACACACACGGCACATGTGCCCACAATACACACATAGGGATAAATAAAATAAAAAAATAATAAAAATATTGAAATAACTTCTCAATATAGACAAATGAGTTGCTAGTTATCAGAGTACATTTACTTTTTGCTTTGCTTGTGACAAACTTTCCGGACATTATTCCTCCTCCAGATTAGTATTCAGTAGATTGTTTTTCAGTCATCATTTGGAAAACTTTCTTGAGAATACAAAGGGGTAAAAATATATTTCTAGATTTACATTTTAAAAAGTGAAAACAGATGAAATAATTATATTTCATTTGGCCTAACATACAAAAGATTATTTCAAAACAAAATAAAAAGTTGATAGTTCACATTTATCTTCCTCTTAAGTCTTTTAAAATATGTCATATATTTTATATTTATTACTTGGACAAGTCACAGGATGGGTCTTCCATGTTCACAATCCAGTAACTTTTCCTTTTATTGAATCCTATCAAGTTCCATTTATACTTTATGATTCTTTTCGGCTGAGTTATCTTCATTATTTTATTATCTCCATTATTTTAATCCGTGGAATAATTCTACCGCGATTGAGGCCTTCTTACCATACTCAGTCTAGAATACAGGATTTCCAGTGCGTCTGCAATTGATCAATATTCGCTTAATACTGGCTGCTTCTATAGAACAGAGGTCTGGTAAGTATTAGGACACATTACCTAGGGAAGAAGGGGATTGGAAGGGTGACAAAGTATAACACGACTGCACCCTAGCTCAACAGTTAAAATTTAACAACAACGTAGAGTAGTTTAGGTTAGCTTTTCTAAATTTGCCAGTTGCACTAGGGCATCGCCAGGTGTTTTGTTTTGAAGGTCAGAAATAACTTCAGAAATACTAAGTTGAGAACACATGAAACTTAGGGAAAACGAAACTTGGACCTACAGCAGGTGGGCGGAACCTTCTAGCGGCCATGGAACTCTGACTCACGGTTGCGTTCTCTACGCTGTTTGCAGAGATGAGAGGGGCTTGGGGTGGTGAAGAAGAGGCCGCTGGAGACAGAGGGAAGGAACAAGGAGCTCACCACAGGAAAGGAGCCGAGCAGCAAGCCAGCTACCTCAGGAAACGTGCAGATATCCACACCCATCCCAAGCCCGCAGGCCTGCAGACGGCCTGGGTGGGCGTGGCCGAGGGTGGCTAGGTGCTGACGTGTCGACGCTGGCGTCGCGGCCGGTGACGCGTCGCCGGCGCTCGCCCCGCCCCTCCTCGTCCCTCCGTGCCGGTCTGGGGTCAGTGGGTCTGTCCCCGCCGGGCATCCCGCGCGCTGCGCCGTGGTAGCGGGCGACCCCCGCCGGCCGGCCCGCGTGGGCTGCGGAGGAGGGCGGAGCGCAGCCCTCCGCTCACTCGGGAAGGGGAAGCACACACCTCCCGGAGGCCAGGCGCGTGCGGCGACGGGGCTGAGGTGAGCCGGGCAGAGGGAGAGGGAGGGCGAGGGCGGCGGAGCTGGGGTGTGCGGGGGCGGTCGCGGAGCCCGGAAGAGCCTGGCCGAGCGAGCTGTCATCCCTCGGCCCCGGCCAGGCTCGCCGAAGTTTGTAGATGGAGGTAGGATTGAAAACTCCAGAGCGATTGCTCACGTGTGCAGACTCAGCGTGGCCACTAGGCGAGATTTTTCTGTTGTGTGTCTAACCTGCTTTTATTTTTCTTTCTTTCTTTTTTTTTTTTCTTTTTTTCCTTTTCTTTTGTATGTTATAAAGTTATGGCAACTTTCGCCTAGATTTTGAACGGGAAATCTCTTGGGTTATGTTTTCCCCACTACCCAGAAAGTGACTAGATTGGGCTATAGAGTTGAGGGTTGTGGGTGAATTTAGTAATCGAGGAATCTAGAATGTCATTTTTAAAATAAAGAAATGGATACGCTATTGTGGTGCTGTGTGGGTAGGTGAGGTAGTTTTTGGTGGAATGCAGTGCACTCGTGTATTTGTTTTCCTTTGCTTTAAAAGAAATCTAAGTTTAGCCTTACCTGAGTTTGGTATGTGTGCTATGACGGGCTCAGTTTAATTGGCAACCGTATTTTCTTTTTGCCCCTGGGTTAATATTAGATCGAATAGTCGCTATATCGTCTTCATCCTTTGTAGATTCATAAGCGAAACATTTATTTTTTAAATTTTAGGTTTCTCAAGTTCCTAATTCGACTCTGTCTAGTACACATGTTCTATCAGGCTGTATATTTAGCTTTTTGCAATGATTATAATACTAGGTTTCATTAAAATGTTCATAGAGATGTCAGTTAAATGTAGGTTAGTGTTATGTGTGTGAATTAATTTTCCAAGAGTTGTTTTCTTTTTTTTATTATTTAAGAGTTGTTTTCTTGATCCTTGTTGAATAGTTTTCTTTTCATAGTAGGTTCATTTATTCATTCATTAATCCACTTGCTCTTCATCAAAGTCCAGGTACTGTGGGCCTGAAATGAAATTTATGCCATGGCGATGCTGAAGCGTGCATGGGCAGCCCATACATGGCGCTTCTGATGAACTTGTCAGTATTGGGTTTCATGGTCTAAGTTGATGAGGACAACTGACCAGGTCTTTTTCTAGGACATAGAAAGTCCCTGTCATATACATAGTCATAGAACTTTGTATAGTTCACTAGCAAACACCCTTTTTTGGGAGGAATCTTAATTCAACAGTTGGAAAGGAATTTCTGTGTGAAAAATATTTCCTTCCTTCCTTCCTTCCTTCCTTCCTTCCTTCCTTCCTTCCTTCCTTCCTTCCTTCCTTCCTTCCTTCCTTCCTTTCTTTTCCTCCCCAGCATTTACAGTGGTTGTATTGATTTCCTATGCCTGTGCCTTGGATTATAGGAAGTGTACACACAAAACATTTCATCAGGGGCATGTATGATACATACAAAGTAAACTTACTATTTTATAACACCTTTCTTGAGAAGAGAGTTTGCATAAGCCTCTCTGGAAAATACAGTTTTCAACTTTGAGAGAAGGTAGCTATGTGCAATTAAAAATTTGACTTGTGAACTTGTGCAGAAAGAAATGCAGAATTCCTGAGGAGAGAAT